CACCGCTCGGAAGAAAAGGCAGAGTATTGCTCACAGTGCGGTGAAGCTTGGGATTGCCTGGATTTTCAATCCCCCAGGTGCTTCATCGTGATGGTAAGTGGGAAACGGCTATGAAGTCAGCTAAGTTTCATCAGAAGCGTGTCGCCGGAGAGACCAAACTGACATATGAGGAGTTCACGATGCTGCTGACGCAGATTGAGGTGATTCTAAATTCAAGGCCGTTGTGTGAGCTGCCTGATGGCCCTGAAGAGTTCGTAGTGTTGACTCCTGGCCATTTTATAATTGCGTCCGGCATCTCTACTGTGCCGGGGCCTTCATTGGCTCATTTATCGATATCAAAACTCTTGAGATCAGCTGGTTAGACGAATGGTGGAGAAGTTCTGGGAACATTAGTCGACGGAGTACATTCAGAAGTTACGGGATATTAACAAGTCGCACAAGGCCGCTCCAAACGTTCAGGTGGGATCTTTGGTGCTTCTGATGGATGAAAAGATCCCACCGACTGAGTGGACCATGGGTCGGGTGACTGAGTTGCATGCAGAGATGGGCTATGCAGATTTGTCACAGTCAGGACGCAGTCATCGAGCTTCACAAGGCCGATCGTCAAGATCTGTCCTCTACCTGTCGAGGTTATTCCACCTGATTCTACCGAGATCTAGGGTTATTTTACGTTTCTTTTGACTTTTGTCTTTGTGTTGTTTTGACTAATATCATATAGTGATTTTATGTTCGTTGTGATTTTCAGTTTACGTTTCCGGCATGGTTTTGCCAATAGTTAATTGCCAAAAGGGGAAGAATGTTGCGGACTGGTTTCACCACTTGGAGGAATTTTCGGGGGTTTCACGTCATCTGTCACCGACTCTGGAAGTTGCGAATTGAGTTATCGACGCGATCAAGCGTTGGCGTCGCTTTTCTATGATTTATTCAGTATTCATTGTGCAATCGTTGAGGATTCTCATTGCGTACGTACAGCGCACTACTAATCATTAACGTGGCTAGATAATTATCAGTATTTATAATTATATCGAGTCTCAATGGGAATACTCTTGTGTACTAGTTAATTATTGTGGTGATTAAATGACAGTGATGATTTAATTCACCGGTGTCCGTGTCTATTCATTCAACCCTTTATCCGGACTCAGCGTCTTAGTATCTTATTTGGAGACGCTGACGCCAGGGATGAACAAATATTGTAATATAAAATTCATATACCTGTGCAAAGCACTTAATAATAAACATTAATTATCGTGAGCTACTTTATACGCGGTTATTCCCAGTTGAGAGGCGTCGGTTCATCTTCTGGATCGTTCCAAACGTCACATTTGAATTAGCCTCCCGGAAGTAAGGAAACTGTAGTTTTTACATCACGAAATTGTATCGTTCATGCATCAAGCCACCCGGGGTCGGATCTGCAGGGCACTTCGGCGGTCTATTCTGCACTTTGAAAAATTGGCGGGAGAGGGCTACGTGTGCCAAGAATTTCATTGAACAATTCCTCTTACAACTTCGTATAACATAAAAGTGACATTTACGGGTGCGGGTGTATTTCAATTTTCATGCGGTTACTGTGTGCTGATGTTAGTAGTTTATTTCTTCATTGCGGTACAGAAGATTCTTTTTTGTGCATGAAACAGTTATGACTATTCTGGGCATATTGGGAGCCGCAGCTATCATGATCGACGAAGAAATACGTGATAAAGAGAGAAGGATCATAATAAAAAAAATTACGAAAATCTTCAAAAAATTTCAAGGAACAAAATCGAGAAATTAAAAAGAGAAGATATAATTTGTAACCGTGTTTTTATTTTCTTCTGTTAGGAAAATTAATCCAATTTAATTAGTTCCTGAAAAGGGGAAGGGATTAAATGATTTCTCCGAAAAATAGGAGGAATTCTGTATAATTCTCGCAATGTATTCTAGTATTAATAAATACAATGATTTGATACTGTCTTCTTGCATTTTAATGAGAGTTTTAACGGGATAGGATAAGACCAGGCACGATTTGTACACGCGAAAAGGGATGATTCTAATAATGGTTACAAATGAGGAAGAAGTTACTCGGGGGTTTGACTCAACCAAATTACAATATTGAAGGATCAATTCTCAAAAGGGGGCAAAACTATTAAGGCTCACCGTTGGGGGGGGGGGGAAATAACTGGAGAATACTGGGATGGGAGGAATGTAACTCGTACCCACGCGGTGCTGACTTGTAGCCGCTTCCTGGGGATGATTCGGGGTATTTTGCGTATCCACCGGGGGTGGTTCAGCCTCTTATCCTCTCGCGCATGTGGGGGATTGTTGGCTCCAAGTAGTAGTACCCCTGGGAAATTTTCTCCACTCCGCGGGCTCACTTTTCTACACGATATTATTCCTCTTAACTTTTATTGTTTCCTGCGGGACGGTGGTCGCGAGGTGGTCAGTTACATCGCTCGTACAGTCTCTTGGGGGTCCTTCGGGGGCGAATTCGTCTTCTTCCGCCTGACGTCACACAAATTTTCGGTGGGCCGAATGAGTTCTTGGTGCTGCGGGGGGTCGTGTGGAGGGGCCTGTTGCCGATTGTGTATGCGATGCGTAGCTGAGGGGTAGTGGGCTCTTCCTCTCCTCTTCTCCTTCTATCCCCTTGCGGTTACGGCTGCGGTGTGAGTCTAGGGCTCTTCTTCGACATGATCTCGAAAGTGGGGGCAGGGGGAAGGAGTATTTGGGGATTCATGGGGAACCAACGGTGGCGGAAATTTTAGGGGGAGCAAAAGATTCTGTGACCTAATTTTTCACCTCATCACAAAATTGTGAAAAAATTCTGTAGAATTTTCTCAAGTATTGAAATCAAGACAATTTATCCGAGAAATAATTCAACTCTAATAATTTTCAAATTGAAAAATTATAATTTATTATATTAACATCAACAAATCGAGTATTCAACAAATTTCATGTCACAATCTATCAAAAAAATGCTAACAAATCCAAAAATATTAATAAAAACGTAAAGAAAACGTTTTTATGTAACTATTCATGCCCCAAAATGGTTGGATAATGTGCTCCCCAACAAGCGCGTATTCTCAACATTATCTGGAATTTTATTTCCACATTTACAAAAACTGCGGGGTGCAGCGTCCAGAGTGATAGAAATGAGATTCTTAGGCTGTAATAAGATGTCAGAGACTACCTCGTCATTGTCTGAGTTGTAGCCTCTCGAGAAATTTACAGTCAAAGACTGTAATGAGGGACAATTGTCCTTCAAGAAAATTACATTGTATCGTTTGTTTCTGACATGAACGTCTAGCAAACTCAAGAATCGTCTACATTTGGATAGATGGAACTCCTACAATTTGTCTTTCATCCACGTTATTGATGTATTGGAGAATAAATTGATCGATGTGTCGAATATCCCTCCATACTGTGCCATCAAGTTTCATCTCCCTCCAAAATGAACGGGGTGCAAAAAATCACAATATTAAGAGTATGCAAAAATTAAAGAGTATCGTCGAATTGTACGAAACTGGCAAGCATTAACTTTAATGGAGTGTAACACAAATGAAAGTCATGGATGCAATCAATATCAATTCTCATTTTTCGAAATCCAATTGGTACCTGTGAATTCAATATTCAGTGAATGATCTGAATATTAACTAATATGAATAAAATGCCAGTCAATTTTGACATTTCTTATATGAACAAACCCCAAAAATGAAAATTTATTGGTCTAAACTTGATTGAGCGGACATTCGATGATATTAATAGCATGAACTTTTGCTATTTGCACAACAAAATGGAGAATTTAATTAACCAGAAGAAACGTCCTTACAAATAAAACAATCCCGATAGAAAATCAAAGAAAAAATTTAATGGGAGAAACGCACTAATTCTGAAAATCTTAAATAACTTATTAAAAATCAGCAGAAACAGTGAATCTGGAGTAGAACTGTTTGTTTCCTTTCAATAATGAATTGAAAGTATGTTCTATCTGGTCAAAAAAAAATGAGTTGAATTGAAAAGTTCTTTTAAAAAAAAAATAGAAAACTCACTAAGAAACAAAAAAAAATCATTTTGTAAAAAATGTACCAAGGAAGATTTGTTTACGGATTACCAGATGGAGAAGATTAGATTGATATAAACAGTGAGTTGAAAATCTCCGCGCCAAACACGTTGCTCCTGCTCCTACTGATTTTTTACTTCATGAAGAATTTTTTTTCAATCCTTTTTCTATTGAGAACTATTTTTCTTATAGAAATCTGAATATGCAGTATACATATTCATTCGACATTCCTGGGTTGGCTTTCTTTGTTGTTTCTTTGTATTTAAAAAAAATCTCGACTTTTCAGCAAAAATCAAACAAAACTTTTCCTTGGCGCAGTTTTTTTACAAAAACATTTGTTTTCGTTTTTCAGGGATCTCGATTTCATCACAAGATGGAATAAGAAAAAAATAAATAAAAATATTGAATTTGCCAGTACATACGCTGTGGAATGCGGTTACTGTTGTATATCTGGTCACAGGTACAAAGAATTGCTACGGCTCCATTCGGAAGCTTACTACCAATGGAATTGGTCGAATTGAAAACAAGGAAGCGACTAATAATGCAAAAATTAACATGCAAAATTCAATGAAGTCAAGAAAATTGCGTGAATTTTGTTGAAATATATCAGAAATTCATGAATTGAAGAGAAAATATGATGAAATCTTTTTAGGAGTTTATGAATGTTTCTTCAAAAAATGTCTTCTGACGTTGTTGTCTAAACTTGATAATATTCAAGATATTTGTAAAATAATTTCAAAATGTATCGAAGAGTCGACAATAGATGTAATACATTATTAACAATTTCATATAGATTATTCCACAACTGCCGCTGAAACTAGTAAATTCAACAAAAAATTTCATAACAACTTCCCTTTTATCCACTACTTAATGAATAAAAACCATATTCAAAAATTTTCTAAGCCTCTTTCTTCAAAAGATAAACTATTTGCAGATATTTGAGAAACTAATTGTGGAATAAATTAATTCCTTAAAATTCACTTCTTTTCCCAACTTGAGTCGATTAATATTGTATAATCGTAATAATAATTCCTGTTCTATTGAAAATAGGCAGCACTGGATGAGGCGACCGACACATGGGGAATAAAAGTAGAGCGTGTGGAAATGTGAGTAAACATGTAATTTATCATCCATCCTTCGCAAAATTCTATCGGTTTGAAATATGAATAGCGTTTATCGACTTTTAGAAAGGATGTGCGCCTGCCGGTACAACTGCAACGGGCCATGGCAGCTGAGGCTGAGGCAGCTCGCGAGGCTCGAGCTAAGGTAATTGCCGAGGTTCTAGTGATAACAAAGCGGGGAATTTAACCGGAGGACGGTCAAGTGATTAATTTCAAAGAGTGATAAAGTAGTGTAATAATGCCGATTCTGGGGCAACATTTTTGGCGTCGACCTGGTCGTTGGGGCCCAGTAAGGGGGTCAGATGAAAATGGGTGGGTGAGTGGTTGATTAATTCGCGGGGTGGCGGTTTAATTCGCGGTTTGATTCGCGAGGTCGCCGTTTAATTCGCGGTTTGATTAATTAATTCGCGGGTTTTCCCTCGAAGTCATGAAAGGGTCAATTGATTCACGGGATCGCGGTTTAATTCGCGGTTTGATTCGCGGGGTCACGGTTTAATTCGCGGTTTGATTAATTAATTCGCAATTTTTCCCTCGAAGTGATGAAAGGGTTGATTAATTCGCGGTTTAATTCGCGGGGTCGCGGTTTAATTCGCGGTTCGATTAATTAATTCGCCATTTTTCCCTCGAAGTGATGAAAGGGTTAATTCATTCGCATTCCAATTCGCGGTTCGATTAATTAATTCATGATTCTTTCCCTCAAAGTGATGAAAGGGTTATTAAATTCGCTGGTTAATCAATTTAATTCGCGGTTTTGCGTTACAAAGGACCTTCTCGGTGACCTAGTCAATCCACCCCGCGAGGGGGTGAGTGAAGAAGTTAATTAATTCGCAGGTCGCGGTTTGAATCGCAGATTAATTCCGCAGATCACGGCTAAATTCGAGGATCAATTGATTAATTATTCAATTAGTATACCCAAAGTTCTCAGTACACCGCCGCGAGGGGTGAACGGGTTAACTAATTCGCTGCTATAGAAATCATAGAAGGGGATCCTCTTCTTCTTCAAACATTGACACCTGGCTTCACTTGACATGTCTGAACTTGAGTTTTCCGGTACTTTCTCGTTTGCCGCCCCCCCTTCGTGTGAAATTGTTGTTGATAACGATATCAACATGTAAATATTTATTTTAAAAAGAAGAGTTCAGAAGGGGAGGGAGTTTGTATATCTGCAAAGGCAGAGGATCAGTCATTCAAAAACTTAGGTAACCCCACCAATTTGGCATAGTCCTCGACAAATTTTACACGTTGTAGTAGGAGGAGTTTCCGAAAAATCTCCATCTGCTGCAAATTGACAAGAACGCAAATGCATTGGAAGATGTCCGAACGCAATCTTTTGTTTACATAGACTTTTTCGGTTTACCTGGGAANCGAAGCGCGCGATCTGCCTAGTTTTGTTAATAATTTTCCAATGAGTCACATGATTCTTTTTCAACCAATCACGTAAGATTTTACAGGATGTACACGCGTAGGCACACTCACATATGTATCTATTATAACATGATAAAAATCATGTACTGTTCCTCGCCTGAACTGACCGCGGATCATGGGGGGGAAAATTAGTATTTTTACCTCAGCGAGGAGTCGGATCACCCAGAGCCACAATTGTCATTTTATTTTTTTTATTTCTATTATTTACTTCCTTTTCATCATTCTCTCNTTATTTTTTGTTCCCACAAACAAAGAATGGTGCTATCCATAAGTAAAAGATCCATGAGCGTTACCAGGCTTTTTTCTTTGGTTTCTATGCTCAAGTTCTTTTTCCTTTTCTATAAACCATGTATATAGTACAATCTTTGGAAAGCTCATTAAATGAGTTCCAAAGTGACGTCTGTTTCATCCAATTCTGACCATTTTTCATTGAGTTATGAGAGTTTTAGGCGATAAGTGAATTTTCATGTTTCACTTGAAAAATTAACTTCGGATGGATTTTTCGATGCTTTCAAGTGGCTGAAACAAAGATATTTATACATCATTTTGAAAAACACGTACTGTTTTTCGAAATGGTGTATTAAAAATGCGATTTAATTAGATTTTCATCAATTTATTACAGTTTTTTTCCATTTTTTATGTTTTGTCACACCTANGATTAGAACCATTTTAAAATGCTAGAATCAAATTGTCGAATCCCCTGTATTCTTCGCTCTTTATCACGTGATCGGGTGGGGGTAGAAAAGATTTTGAGGTTCCTCGGGGCGATGTACGGCCCCGACGGATACTCTTCGCTGGGATTTCTTTCAATAAGGTCGCTCTGCGCCATTTAATTTTTTTTTCGCTCTTCGAGGTTATTTGATCGACGGAAGTAAAGTACGTAGTGGTGTTGTGCCCGTTGGTTCCGGCTTTATCTTCCGACGTCGCCATACTGAGGGTCCAGACGAGTCTGCCTGGTGTTCTCGCGAAATCACGGTGAGCGTCTATTTTCCTTGTGAGTGCACGCGTCTTTCCAGTAGGGATTCCACTCCGGCACCCATTTTGGGGCCGTTTGAGAATGCGATAGAGTCTGCTTGTGACGCGGCACTCTGTAGCCTCCAGCTACCTCTTGATTGATGTCATTGTTAATTTCGCTACTTAATTGTGGTTACCAATCTACTTTTGTGGGGAAAACTAATCCCAGCTCATTTAATACGTCGACCTTCACCATTAACTTTTATGTCGTGGCTCTCGCGTCGTCGTCGCTTGCGGGTGATCCTCGCGTCTTAGCGTCTCCCACGCATCCTTAAGATTATTATTATTTCTCTTCGTTAATTAGCATCGCTAGGTCAGTTACATTTTTTTTTGTTGTTGTATAGTATCTTTGCTCGTGGGAGTCCTCTCCTGCACGTGTACAGAATTCTACCGAAACTCTCGTATGTACGAGGGAAAGATCACATTTGATTTATGATTTGGAAATATAATTTTTTGTGTTTTATAAACAATTGCATTGTTGAGTACGCTCATTGTAGCCTGTTCCCACACGCCTCCGCGGTTATCTGAGCTAGTCGTGGAACGCGGCTCAACGGTGTGACCTTGTCCTTTGGCGGTTAAAAGGACTGGCGCCCTTTTTGGCATTTTGTCTCCTCTCGTTATTCCCGTCGTTCTAATTCCGGATTGAGAGAGTCCAAAAGGTTCGCTGAAAGTTCATGGAGAATCACGCGTCTGAATCCCGCAGACGCGCTTGAAAAAAATACCTCACAACTTTTTGACGCCCAACGTGGGGCCTTCGGGCAAATCCACGGGATAACAAAATTGATTCATTTTTTTTTGTTCCTTTCAATAATTGAAAATTATTTGGTTTAACTTTATCTGAAATTTTATTTCGGAAAATTAAATTCGAATTAAATTTCTCGTATTCGAATTGAAATTTCTCGTGATTTAATTTCATCGGGCGAGTGATTCGCGTTGAATTAAATTATTTGGGGATTAAGATTACTCGGCCTCGAATTTAACACTCGTCTTTGTATTCGGGTGTATCGACCCATTTTATTTCGCCTCTCTTTTCGGGTTTGTTTACTTCGCGCTGGAATGTCGTGCGGAGAATCGAGCAACACTGAACGCTCGGTATCGGAAGTCTCTCTCGCACAATTTCTACGGGCCGCTCTCGCTTCACGCGTTTAGTGGGACCCGTCGGCGTAGTGGGGAATTATCGATCGGCCACTATCAGCTGTTTGAGTGCGACTGCACTCTCGGATGTTTCATATTCTCTAGCGGAGTAATTGACCTCGCGCGCTATATTGCGAAGTAGGGAAATTATTTTGTTTTCCCTCGTTTGTTTTTTTTTCCCTTTTGCAAAAATTATATTTTGTTTGCAAAAGTTATTTTTTTAATTTTTCTTTGTTTTTGTTATTTTTCTTTGCAAACTAATTTTTTTTAAATTTTGTTTTGCGAACAGGAAATTTTTTTTTGTGTTTGCAAAATTAATTTTTTTTATTAATTGGTTTTTTTTTGCAAAAATTATTAATTTCGGTCCGCCGTCGGAGGGGATTACTTAATTTTTTTACAATGGACGGGCTGGGAAACGTTATCCAGTGCGTTCCGGAGATGGATTTACCGCGTCTGCGCGCGTTTTTACCGAGCGTAGGGGGTAGTCCAGTGGGTCACGCGATGTGTTGATCGACCGAGCGATTCGCGCCATGCTCCGTATGCGGTCCCGTGGGGTCCCGTGGTCGCTGGCTGACGATTACGTTGAAGGCCTAAGGGACATAAATTTAGATGAATTTGATTTCGAGGGAGCTCACGCGTCAGTTTTCGATACTTTTCGCAATGAGGAACTCGAACAGGCCTTGCCTGATCTATCGCATATTGATCCCGCTATCCTTCAACAGCGGGTCGCGCGATCGTCAGCACACACGACGCCCACGACAACGACAGTCACTAGTACCGTTACGTCAACTACTACGGAAAGTTTTATGAGTAATTTGTCCGGAATGTTCGCGAGTGTAAGTAGGGGATCCGCTGACCCGGCGCACGCGAGCTCACCGGCAAATCATGAAGGGCCCAACACGAGTAGGGTATTCAATTCCACGGGTCAGCAGAATTTAAATGCGGAAGCACGCAGTTCCCAGCACGCGAATCGAGGTAGTTCAATTCCACGTTTCCCAACGGTGCCTACAGCAACCCCAGGGAGGGATTCTTTTGACGTGCGAGCACCACCTACCTCGCGAGGAGGGATGAATGAATCAATCTTCCGCGATTACGAAGGACCGCAGTATTATCAGGGGTCGGGAGCAATTCCTCACACTTGGCATGGCCAGACGGAGGGTATCGCGACGGCAACCTCAAGTGCAGCAGAAGCTCATCTCGAGACAACAGTTCTGGACAAAATTGCGTCCATTCTCGAGTCACATTGGCGAGAGAGGGGGCGCGAGGCACATCGCATTCAATTTGCAGCCCAGGCTGATGAACGGGCGGGGACAAACATTCCCACGCCGACATATTTTCAGGCACCGACAGTGCCCGCGGGCTGCGATCCCCGAGTACCTCCGCCAGTCATGGGCTTTTGGCACAATGGGGTCTTCTATCCCAGTGCTACCCCCTCAGCCTCAAGGGTTGATCATCTCTCGCCAGGTCTCCATGGGAGACGTTATAACGCCGCCATGTTCGATCGCGTTCTAGGGTGGAAATTAACGTTTGCAGGGTTACCGACGGAGAGTATTGACGAATTTCTCCGTGAAC